GGGGCTCGATCCCAGGACCCTGGGATCATGACCTGAGCCGAAGGCAGACGCTTAACGACTGAGCCACCCGGGCGCCCCAGTCATGAGAGACTCTTAACAACAAAGAACAATGTGAGGGTTGATGGAGGGAGGTGGGTGGGGGATGGGCTAGATGGGGGATGGGCATTAAGGAGGGCACTTGTGATGAGCACTGGGTGTTGTGCTGAACTTTACTCCTGAAACCAATATTGAACTGTATGCCAACTAACTAGAATTTAAATTAAACAAATAAATACATAAATAAATACATAAAGGGGAAAAAAGACATACATGCTGATTAAATGAATAAGTTATATGACACATGGAGAAAGATCTCAAGAAGGCACGTGTGGATTTCAGCTTATAATAAATGAGCTATATGTACAATGCCCACGGTTTCCCCAGGTGCTTCTTGTGACTATCACGATCCCAGGTTATGGGGGCAGCCTTTAAAAATAGCTTTAGAATAGCTCTGGACTGTTTATCATTTTTAAATGATAGAAAAACTAAAAATAAGGGCGCCTGGGTGGCTCAGTCGGTTAAGTGTCTGCCTTCAGCTCAGGTCATGATCCCAGGATCAGCAGGGAGTCTGCTTCTCCCTCTCCCTCTGCCTGCCACTCTGCCTACTTGTGATCTCTCTCTCTGTCAAATAAATAAATAAAATCTTAAAAAAGGAAAAGGAAAACTAAAAATATTTTATACAGTTAATAGACAACATCATATGGACTCCTTTATTCATCCAACAGTTATTTATTGGGTGCTTGTCATGTAGCAAGCCCTGTTCTGGGAGCTGAGGGGATGGAGTGGGGTCCCTGTTTTCATAGAGATTACCATTCTAGTTAGGGGGGCATTGGGGAAACAGACAGTCAATACATATATAAAACTGTATCAGATAATGAAGAGTGCTGTGGAGAAAAAGAGTGAATGGCCTGGAAGAGAACTCTGAGGAGGGACCTGGGAGCAGGGAAGGATTGTGCCAGGAGAAGACCCGGGGCCCAGCTGGTGCCTCAGTCTTGAGGCGGGAGCAGACTAACTTGTGTTCAAGGTCAGCAAGAGGGCCATTGCAGCGGGAGCAAGGTCATCGAGGGGAGCAAAACTCGGAGATGAGAACAGAGGTCACAGAAAGCCAGATTGTGTCAGATCCTTTAGCTTTGAGTCAGGACGGGCTTTTACCCTGATTGAGATGGGAAGCCATTGATGAATGGAAATAGAGGGACAGCATGACCTGATTTAAGCTTTAAATGGATGGTTCTGATTTTTGTGTAGAGATTGATTGCGGGAGAGCAAGAGTGCAAGTGGAGGATGATGAGGTCATTGGGGCTTTTATACTATTAACTCTTTTTGTACATTCTTAGGCTTTTTCCATTAAAGGAGGGAGAGAACGAAGAGGAAGCAGAGAGTCCTATCAAGATACTGCAATAATCCACATAAGAGATGGTGGTGATTTAAATAGGTCATAGGGGTGAAGGTGGTACAAAGAGGTTAAATTCTAGGTATATTTTGGACGTAGATATGGCAGGGTTTGCTGATTTGCTTATGTGGGTTGCAAGGAAGGGGAAGATAGGGGCCATTTACTGAGACCGGGAAAGACCGTAGGAGGACCGGATGGGCAGGGAGGAGATGTTCCTGCTAGACTTTCAGATGGAGGTATTCAGTAGGCAGTGGCATACAAGACTGTAGTTGGGGGACAGGTTACAACTATATAAATCTGAATATTCTCAGTTTATAAATGGTATTTGAAGGCAGGAGGCTGGATCACATTACCCGGGTAGGGAGTATAGACGAGCAGGAGAAGAGGTCCAAGGACAGAACTCTGGATGATCAGTTCCTAATTTTCCCCTTTTTTCTCTCAGTAAGGATGCCTTTGATGCCATCTTGTTGTTCAGACAAAGAAAATCAGATACAGGAGCCTAATTTAAGACGCTGCTGTCTAAACTACCACTGCATTTTCTGGCCCCTTACATATTTAGAAACACGATGGCCACGCTGGAGAGGCTTTTTGATGAACGAGAGTGATTGTATCTTTCGGCCAAACAGTGAAAACAGTATGGCAACTCTGTGTCGTTCCCTTTTTGTTTAGTGGAAAAAATTGTTTTTAGGATAAAAGAAACTTGCTTACAACATTAGAGGAACAGAGTGGCATTGTGGTAGGTCCAGGTTCTAGTCTGGATTTTGCCATTTCATGCAGCCTTGGAGCCTGGGGCAAGTCACCTAACCCTTCCCGACTTTCCGCAGCCGAGAAACTGGGAACAGCTGTTCTGCCAGTGTTCCCAAAAGCTCTGTCGAGATCAAAGGCTGCAGTGTACCCCGTGGTTCTTTGAAAACGTCAAGTATGCATATACCAGTATAAGGTACGAATGGTATTTTAAAACTTTATTATTATTATTCCTTAGAATTTTAGCCATCCATTTAATGGTAACAGTGTCACCTAGTATGGATACATTTTTCTTTGCATGTAATTGCAAAAAGATCTTTTCACATTGTTGCTATCCCAGGCTTTCACTGTGTAACCTGAGAAGTGCTTTTCTAGTTCAGGTTGTAACCCTGAGATTTAAGTTTGGTGACAGTGGCATGATGAATGGGGCCAGTGTTCATGGAGTACATTCTAGTATAGAGACTTGTCTTGAATAAATCTGTTCTGATGCTGTTTAACTGCATGGCACTGATCTCAGTAAATTATTTACCCAGGCTTCAGGGCTTACCTGTTTGGTTGCACTTTGAACAATTTCCACTTGAGGGTAGTGTTCCATTGCCCAATGGAGCAATTCTTTCTAAACATCCCATTTGCCAATTTGCTTTTGAACTTTGCCTTACTTAGTTAAAAAGGCTCTTAAAAGACTGTTAGCTGCATGTCTTAAACTCCTGATATTTTTTACTGGTTGTTTCCTGTCATTTGAGTAATTTCATGGAAATGAACAATTAAGAGAATTTAGTCTTGAGAATCTTTTTTTAATCTCTTGAGGGATAATGTAAGCCTCTTTCCATTATTTTGTGTCTTCATACCAGTTTTTATTTGCAGTAAGACAGTAAGACTACATGGTAGAAAAATATATTCCAGTCCACCTTCTGAAAAACTTTTTTCCTTAAAAAAGTTATATGAAAACACATTTGACTTAGCTGATTTTCGGTGTGGCTAGGCATTGGCTTTTTCCCTGCCTCATTCCCTTATCTTTAACCACCCAATCCCATCGAGCCTTCACCCGAATGAAAAAAAGAAAAAAAAAAAGGGATTGAGAGAGAGGAGAGAAACATTCTTTAAAAGAAAAAAAAAATCTTGTTTTTTTTTTTTCCCCCAGATGTGGCAACCATCAATTTGATAATATTAAACAGCTTTAAATTTTAGTATATTACCATGCGTTTATTAACTAGTAATTTTTTTTACTGTTGTTCCTCTAAATTTATGTAATAATATTATTACAAAATACTCATTTTGCAATGTAAATTATTTCTTTGTCCCAAGTGTTTTTATTAAATTGTTTTTTTCAAGTTATTTGGAATTGATCTATGCATCTTCTCATTAGTTTTGGCATGTTATTTTGTAAATTTTACCTTAAATTGTGACATACACTAACTTTGTTATTTGTCCCCATTATTTAGTTCTGTTGGTCTTTATGTACTTGTTGCTGAAATCTGTATATTACTCTAGCCAACCCATACTTTAACGTTCAGTAGATGAGAAAGTCTTTGAGAACCAGCACCATTCTCCTACGTCTTAGTGCCCCTCTGTAGTACAATTTCCTTGCGAATAGTAAACGCTTGATGAATCTTTGTATAATTGGACACAGCGAGATGTTATGCGGTGAGTATGGTCAGTTGTTAAACATCTAACGATGGAGTCATGGTATCAATTAGTGGCTGAACACGTTTGAGTTCTGTATATAGTTTCTGATCTCTTTTAACAAATAATTTTTATTTCTTTCATGGTAGACCCTAATACAGTTTGTTTTATGAATATTTTTCTTCTTTTTGCTGGAAGTGGGTTGAATCATATTCTTTTGTCTTTTCAAAAAAGAAAAAGCATTGCAAAGTTAAAAATCTTGTGACCTGAACCTGCGTTTAAATATTTTTGCTGCTTCATGTATCTCTCTCTCTAGAAACAAAGGGCCATGTTTGAAAGTATATATGTATCTCCTGGCATGTTTCATAAGACGGGGATAGGGTCAGAAGGAACTGAAGAGGTGACAAAAGAAATACACTCACAATGGGATTTTATTTCCAGTTCGTATTTTGAGGTTGAGAAATGAGTTCTTGTTTGTTTTTGCATTGCAGTGAATGACTTAGGAGGGGACATCAAGGGATTGAGTAAAGGCTCCCTAGCAGCTGCTGATAAGGTTGTTGAAGAAATAAGAAGTAAAGGTGGAAAAGCCGTGGCCAACTATGGTATGGTATTTGAAAGAGCTATACTATTCTGGCATTTTCCTTCAACTAATGCTGTTGTTCACATCAATAATCATTGAGCAAATGTCTCAGCATTCCAGTGTGATTATGAGATTAGATTTTCTCTGAGTCAGCCAAATCTGTTTGGCTGTCTATTTTATATAATATAGGAGGTTTTTAAAAACTTTTGATGTAGGTTATTTCATGAGTCTTAACTTTTAGCATATTGTTTAACATTTTTATTAATCAGTGCATGATAAAATCAGTAAATTATTAATGATGTGGATAGGAATATGCTCTTGTTCTTGACATACCCATTTTAGCTACAGAATAACATTAGATTCTTCTTTTAAAATTGTTTTAGAAAAATTCTTATAGTAATATAGCATAGGAAGTAAAATGCCTCCTTTCTGGTATCCAAACACCAAGTTCCATTTTGCACAAGTAATCATTGTTCTTTGTAACTTTCTTACCTTTATAAAAACATAAGAGTCAAAGTTAGGCATTAAAATAAAGCCATGAGGAAAAATAGCATTTGATGTATCAATTCTAATAGTATCTGTAAGGAACCTTCTTGAATAGATTTACTTTAAAAAGTGAGTGCTTATTGACTTTTCTGCAAATTAGATTGTTTTTATTAGCCAGAGGTAAAATTAGATTGCCAGTCACTTGATTTTGAAATTCTATTTATTTATTTATTTATTTTTAAAGAT